AAATTCAGATATGTATTTGTTTTTCGTAGATTTTGCTTGTACAACGGGTTATTGTAAACGACAAGATCGGTCTGTTAAAATCGCAAACTTTGAATCGAGCTTTTAGAACAATGGAGCTACAAAAATTGTAATGAATTGTAAGATATCAGTTCAAGATCCGTTGAATAGCTTAGAGTTTTATCTATCAAGCCATGAATAAATTATCTGCCCCAACTTGCCCCCGGCTCTTTAAAACTACATGTTCTTGGGCGCTCAGGCACGGTTGTGGTAAAAAACCTCGCGATTTTAAGCCTATGTCGCGCGCGTATCTGTGTTTTGGCTTTACAAAATATAAGATTTTTTTTTCTGGGTTGTGTTCATGACGTTTACTCGATTCACTCGGATTTAACTCAAAACGTTTATTACAACAGCGATGCCTAGACTTTCACTTGTGTAAATCGTTCGTGACTACTAAGAAATTTAACACCGATTTTACATATTTAACCCACCTCTTGTAGGTGCGTTAAACTCTGCATGCGTATTGTAGTGTGTTAATGTCAAATTTGAATTGTGGTTATTTGTGTTGTGTTTATAAAAAGATGTTTTATTTACATTTTAAAAAGAACTTTTAAGGTTTCTTAATTAATTTCAACAATTTTTTGATAAAAATGTCCACTATTTTGAATTTTGGAATTCTGATTCCAGATTCATTATCAGCGACCACAAAAACCCCTGTTTGGTGATTTTCAATTTATTCTGTCAATTTTTTGACAAATATGTCCGCCATTTTGGATCTACCATTTTGAATTTTGGAATTCTGATTTTTAGGATAATCCGACTACTCCTTGATATTTTGCCGAAAATTTCGAGAATTGAAACACTGTGAGCCGGGATTAAACTTCGTATCCATCAAACACAGGTAATGCTGTGAAGTTGCGGGATACGAAGGAGATTCGTAGGAGGACCATATCTACTCATATTCAAGGAGTTTTAAAAAAAGTTGTATTTTTGTATGTTTCTTTGCAAAAAGTGCCTTATCTACTTTTTTATTTAAATAAAAACCAATTGCGCTGTGGCAACAAAAATTTTATTTTGAAAAAGAATGGATAGAACTTGTTCTGTTACTTATCGGAGCGGAAGGTGTGACTTCTCCTATCATGCCAATTAAAATTTAGGGTGAAATCTATTTTAAAAGATTTATAGTTGCAATAAATTGTCATAATATTGTAATACATACAGATAATTTAAATTTAAAAATGCTATTTTAATTTTTTACCTCCTCTTTTAGGTTCAGCAAATTAATATAACCATTAACTGCAGCCTCCACTTGCTTTTTCTGTATTCCATTTAACTTACAGTAAAAATAAATATTTTCGGAGACTGTGAGATCTTTGAACAATATGTTTTCACGCGGACAAATCCCCAAGCGTCTGCGAACTTTTGTCGTTTGCAAACATGTATCATATCCACGTATTGTGGCAATTCCTGTGCTTGGCATTTCTACACCTACAATTAAAGGACGTAAAATTTCGTTTTTAATAAAACACATCATTATTTAAGGTTAGTTGCCCTGTAGTGAGAGCAAGGTAAAAACAAAATTTTAAAAATTGATTGAAAATACACAGGTTTCTCTACACAGGTTTCTCTATAGGAGCGAGTGGATCTTTCTTTATTTACCAAGAAACGTATCTACCTACTTAATAAAGATAATTTGCTAAAATAAAGTTAATACGCATAAATTTATATCGCTGTAACTGACGAAGTAAAAAATCCGACACTTGCCTTTAACCCTTTATAGAATCCATTAATTGTTATTTATTTTATTTTTTTTGGTAAGACATACCTATTTTGGATGTAGGAAGTTATTTTAATGAATATTTTGAAAATCCAACTGTTTTTTTAAATTTATCATGATGGATAAAATGGAAAACACTGCCCATAAGATGATAGATGGGCGGTGGTCTAAATGCAAACCACATATTTAAATTAATCGGTTTTTTTGCGTTTCTGAAAGGATTTTAGTTTTTTTTCAGGACCAGGTAAAATAATTACATGGTGTATGCTATAAAAAATCAAATATTTATTTCCAAATTGTTCACTGTCATTATTCTTATCTAGAAACGGTTTTAGTAAATTTCAATTTCTCAAAGTTTCTTCATTTTTTGATTGTACCTACTCTTGTGTTTGTAAGTAAGTTACAGTGGCATTTCTGTGATGCATATTTTTATTTTCACTGGTCAATTTTCAAAAATGACCTACTACTGGTAGTTTTCTCTGAATCTGATGACTTATCGCGATACTGAGTCATCTGAAAGAACATCTGCATTAGTGTCACTTTCACCCCCAAATCTATTCAAAATTTATTTTCTGAAATGTATACTGGATGTTTGCTCACTACGATTACGTAGGCTGGATCGTGCTGAAGTATTGGCAGAAGTTACTTATAAACATGAAGATGTACTTGGTGAATTCAGACGAAAAGTACTTGGGGACTCTTGATGGGCTATCGCCCTCAATCTCCGAATCCATAGCCTGAACTTCGGTTATACCAACGACTAGATAAAATAGTTTACTTGAATCCAATTTTTTAAAAAACCAAAATATACTGGACGTTTATAAGCATGGATTCAATAGTCTCACGGTATGGGAGCATGATAGAGGTTATGTTCCAAAACGATCTAAATATTTCGTTAGCGCTAACCTATTTTCCAAGTACTATTATCACAAGTTATAAAGCATTCAATTACCTTTTGAATTATGTGTGTTGTCAGGTAAAACAAATATGCTTATGCTCGCTAGCAGCAACAATTACTGCAAATGTTACTTTTTCGCAATTTTGTGGGAACGGGCAATGGTTAACATAGAGACCACATTGGTTCTAACAATTGCCAAATTTAAATTGTGGCCAATATGATACCCACTGCACATTATGAGTTCATTTATTTGTACTTTGGTCGAAGTTTGGGTTCTCCCTCATTTCTAAGTAAGCTGTAATGGATGTGGTTAACATAGAGACCATTAAAGTATAAAGGGTTAAAATATGTGGCAACGTTTTTGAATTTTCACTACACAACAACAAATGTCAACCGTTAAAGAACAACCTAATTTTAAACTGTTTAAAGTTTAAAAGCACAAAATATACCGTGTGCCCATTTAAAAACCAACAAGTCTAAAACTAAAATGGATATAAAAAATTCTAGCACATGCGGGGAGAATTAGTATCAAAGATAATACACAAAGATAATGTATTATCTTTGATCAGTATGACCACAAATCTACTATTACAGTTTATTATTATTATTATCATTATTATTAAAACTAACTTCAGCCCGTAACTAAAAACCTGTTGCTAACTTCAGTCCGTGACTAAAGCGCCATAAAGCCACAACTTGTCAATGTGTATTTAAAAGGTCACTTAGTGTCATAGAAACATGTACGATAATGGCCGTTTTAAAGGTGAGAGTAGAAAAACGTACTTTACCTATCAATATGGAAATAAAATTGAGGATTTCGGTGCGATCGTGAGACAGAAAAACAGTGATTTGGTTTTCGTAAGCATTCATCGATATATCCTTTAAAACGGTTTTTTTCTTTTTATCCAAATTTAAGTTTCTTACATGTAGTGCCGGTTTAAAGTTTTTCGGATGGATTTCGAACAACTCCTTAACGGTGAGCGGTCGTATAACTTCTAAAACACACAGTAAAATAATATTTTAATAATTTAACATATTAGGTTAAACGGCCAAGAAAAATTTAACCACAGCAACTTCTAAACCTCACACAAGACTGTAGGTGATTTTTAAATAGTTTTAATATCTCGACCCTTTTGGGGTTGAAGTTACAGTGATGAAATTATTTTTGTAAATATGTCCACCTGAAAATAAAAGTTTATTTTTTATTTTTACATTCAAAGCCGTAAACCCTTCTGGAGTGTTTTCAATGGACCACCCTGTATATAGTCCATACACACTCAAATAAATATAGTGTATACAAAACTATATATAGTGTATATGTTACCGCCAATATCCGAAAACGGTCATTATGCATAATGACTAAGCATTTTAGGATTTATGCGTAAAGCCTAAAGTTTTTAGTCATTATGCATAAAAACTAAGAACTTTAGGCATTATGGATAATAACTAAATATTTCAGTCAATATCCATTGTGGGCGGAGTTAATCAGTCCATTATGTTCTGTGATTACAATTAAATTAAAATATAGTTTAAGGAAGTAATGAAATGTAAAGTAGAAACCACGAATATATGAACGTGACTCATCCGACACATTCGTACGAAGCAATCTATCGAAGGTCACGGTCCAGTGCAGTCCAGTTTGTAAAAAATC